CAGACGTTCGCGCATCGAGTGATTCGAGCAGCTCAAGACTGCAAGTTCTTGCCCTCAGAGAGATACGGCCGACTTCGTGACCAATTCATAATTGGCATTAATGATGGTGCCATTCTGCGTGCCATTCTTCAAGGAGACGATGCATTGAGCTTTGACGATTGTGTCAAGACTGCATCCGTGGTTGCACAAACAAGATTAGATGCGGCATGTTTATCTGTATATGAAGAAGTAAATGTGATTCACCGGACGACTGGAACGACAAGTTATACACGAAGAAAGAAAGAAATTCGATGTTACAACTGTGAATCCTTAAATCACTTTGCACGTGAATGTACCTCTTTATGCAAAAAATGCTGCAAAAGACTGCTACAAACGTCAAAGAAACCAAATGGGACGAGTTCGCATTCGGTATCTTTACAAGAACTTGTTCCGAAACAAGACTACCTTCTATTGACTTGGTAATAAACAGAAGAAAAGCTACAGCGCTTGTGGATACTGGTTCGCAATCAATCATCACCAAAAGTTACTGCCGCCTGACTATAAAGTGATTCGTGTAGTAAATGTTGCAACAATGGGCGGAATAATTCGATGCGAAGAAGTTAGTGCTAAAATATGCCACCCAACGAACTGGTGCTTGGTGGATGTGATGGCTCTGAGTGTGAATGAAGTAATAAACAAATACGATTATGGGTATGGACTTAATAAAGACGTGTGATGGACTAAATATGATTATGGGTATGGACTTAATAAAGACGTGTGATGGACTACAAATTGGCACTAGAAAACTGAAATTGTGTAATTCTTTGATTGAGTTGTCATCGAAACTTCGTGTTGCGACAATTGAAATTGGAACAAGCAAAGCTTATTTTGATGGCAAAAAGTGGATTGTAAATTGGGAGTGGGAAAACGAACCTAAAATGAAAAATAGAACAAGTCAGTATAATGTAGCTGACAAAAATTGTGAGGCGTTTAACAACGAAATAAATGAATGGATCAAAGGTATACTCATCAAGTATGACGATAAAATTATGGGAAAACCTAATGTTCTACTACCGTTAATGTGTGTCATTCAAGATAATAAAAAGAAGATAAGACCTGTACTTGATTATCGTGAGCTTAACACGTATGTAAAAGCCTCTACAAGGGATGCTTATGTCATCAATGATGCAATGAGGGAGTGGAAACTCATGTGTAAAAACAGCAATGACTCGGTAGTGGATCTAAGAAGAGCATATTTACAAATTCATGTGCATAAAAGGCATTGGCCTTACCAGACGGTCATCTATAAAAATTAGCGATATGCACTTACACGTTTGGGTTTTGGTTTAAGTTTGGCACCAGTGATGATGAGCTCAATATTGCGGTATGTTCTCCAACAAGATTCTGCACTGGCAAAAACAACAAGAGAATACATTGATGACACCCTCGCAACCAATGGAAATGGAAGAAAGCTGGTGATACATATGAAGAAATGGGGTCTTCATGCAAAAGCACCTGAATATTTTGGCGAAAACCCAGTTCGTGCACTAGGATTAGAAGTCACAGTAAATCCATTAACAAAGGAGATGTTTTGGAACAGAGGACGCAAGCTTCCTATTATTAAATCTGTGCTCACAAAGAGGGATGTATTCTCATTATGTGGTAATCTAATTGCTAATCTACCAGTTGTTGGATGGTTGAGACCGGCATGCAGCTATATAAAAAGATGTACAAACGAAGCAGATTGGGATGAACCTATTACGAATACGTATGTTATCGAAATGATGCAGGAAGTTGTAGATAAAGCCGTAAAGTGCGATCCGGCAAAAGGTGTATGGAATGTTAAACCAAATGCATCTCTGACTGTATGGTGCGACGCAAGTTCGCTGGCAAAAGGAGTTGTGATAACGCAAGGTGACAGAAAGATAGAAAATGCGACATGGCTCCGACCAAAGTCTGATGCAATGCATATCAATGTGGCCGAATTAGATGCATGTATTGAAGGTCTAAATATGGCATTGAAATGGAATCCAAGTGATGTCTCCATTAAAACTGATTCTCATAGTGTATTTAGTTGGTTAAATTCTGAATTGACTCGTGACAAACCTGTGAAATGTGCTGGGCAATGCGAAATGTTAATTCAACGAAGACTTTAAATATTTGAAAAATTGGTCGAGGATTATGTCATAAATGTAAATGTTACATGGGTACCAACAACTAAAAATATTGCTACTCTCATCGCATAAGATTTTTCTTGTTTATGAGCTTTAATTAGCCCATACAAACGTGGTGGGACCACTGATCTCTATAATAACTGGATAGCGCATCTCCTAATAAAATTTCGAAATTTAGAAGCTAAAAGACGCCATATTGGAAAGCCCCAGAATTTATAACTGCGTAGTTGCGTTAAACTTATATGCGCTTAAAACACAGATTTCGCTTGATTATTAAAAACCGAGTAAATCTGATGTTATATTCAGATTATTTCATGGAGAGTGACATAAATATATATATATAAATATAATATATATATATATATATATATATATATATATATATATATATATATATATATATATATATATATATATATATATATATATATATATATATATATATATATATATATATTGTGTATACAGGGTGGCCAGCCACTTTCAACAATTAAATTCCCTGACTTTTCATATTTTTCCTTGACTCAGTTATATTTTAAAGTGTGAATTTTTAAGTTTTGTTGTTTGGGAGTAAGTAAAAAAAAAATTTTAAAAAAGATTAAATTTTCAAAAAAGACATTTTTCCCTAATTTCCCTAACTAGATAAAAATTCCCTGACTTTTCCATGATTTCCAGTTGGCTGGCCACCCTGGTATAATATTATTATAATAGTATGCTAGTATATATTAGTATGCATCTTTAGATTCTTAATTGCCCTCTGCAAAATGCCTGAGGCTTGTAACATATTTGCAAGGTAAACAGCTTACAAGTTTGCTGTATGAATCATTTGTTAGGCAATGTGATTGTAACACAACCTAATGGTTCCTTAGGCAACATATAGCAAATCTTTATATTTACTTTTAATAATTTTGTTCTTGCGTGTATATATATATATATATATATATATATATATATATATATATATATATATATATATATATATATAACTATCGAAAAATACTTTTTTGTAAATGCCATTAGACATTTTCACTACACCAGAACATTTGTATAAGATATTGCAATTACAAAAGAATATGTTAAAGTAAAAAAATATAAATAAAATAATAGTTAGCTCTATCATCTTGAACAAAATAATCATTGAACAACTTGTATAAGCATTGAATAACAAAATAAACATTGAATAAAAAGGTATTATGTGGTAGGGAAAAGTAAAAAAGTATGTACACTTAGAAAAAAATTGTTCACCTTTCATTTTGGTCTTTTATGTTGCTTATTTGTTTTCACAAGAAATATTTTTAATATTTAATAATTATACAAATAATATTTATCAGTATAAAACTGATAGATGTTAGCTGAATCATTATTATTTTACTTTAGAGTCAATAGTTTTAAAAAAAATTGAAAGAAACCATGTCTGTTTTCATTTATACCATATTTACATATAAACAATCAATATGTATGTGATGCTGTTATTTAGTCTAAAACACTAAATACTATAATGTAAAACTACAAATAACTAGTTATCACCAAATATCTAGTGTTTTTTAAAGTTAGAGATGGCTTTTTAAAACTTTCACAAAGTGTAATTAAAGTTAGCAAAGCAACAAAACAAAACATTGTTATAAAGTGATATTAATTTCAATAAAGTATTGCATAGTTGATGATATTTCAGTTGTGGAACAATATAAACATGCCCTCAGAGTTTCAAAAATTAGAAAACCATTTACAAAAATGTTTGACACAATGTTTTTATCATGTTTTCTACTTGTAAAGTTACTTTCCAGCTACTATTGCTAAGTAAGGTCGCATCAAGTTGTTAAAACTAACACCCAAAAGTAACCAGATCAAATATCAATTTGTCTTTCAGAAAAGTTTTATTTAGAATATATCATGAATTCAATAAATTTAACAAGTTCATAGAAAGCAATACAAATTTTATTATTTCTTTATAGCGATATTTCTCTTCGTCGTTAATGTTTTGCGTGTTTTTGATTCCCTTTTATAATTTTTACACCTTCAAACATTTTAAATATAATAATATCATTGAAATATGTGACTTGGTCGAGTAGATATAAACGAAGTAAAAAGGTACATCTTCAAGCGCAATTACTGTATTTTCGGTATTCTGGGGCTTTCCAATATGGCGGCCGTACAAAAAATTGGCTTTTTTTTTTGATAATAGAGATGGGACAGGATCACTCGGGTATACGCTTTCATATTCATCATTAGAAAAACGTTGTTTTTTGTTAAGTTTTGAAAGGAAAGACTTTATTTTAGCTGCATAACTTAGAGTGGGATCAATACTTTTTTTATACAAATAGGTACGTAATTAAAAATTTCAAATTGTTTGAATACTATAATGTTATATATCATTAGAAAGAGGATTATTACAGTATTTTAAAGGTGAAAAATTATCAAAATCGAACAATTGGTTCAAAAGTTATGACGGTTTAAGTACCGATTTTTCGATATTAGGATTTGTTGAACAAACTGTGGTCAAAATAATGTTTTTCTTTACTTAAATTGTCATAACTTTGTCAATTCTTATCAAAAAATAAATATCTTAGTGTCAAAAGATAGGTGTAAGAGTGGGCTACAACTTTATGTTAAACTTTAACCACCGGGCGTTTCGGACGGACAGAGGGGGCACCAAACCAACACCTGCCCGTACGAAACTGAACACTTTTTCAGAAAAAAAGTTTTTTTTAAGACATAAGCAATACAAATATTAAAACAAATTGTTTTAAATTTATACTTAACCATTAAAATATATGAGAGGTGTATGTTAGCAATAGAGGTGGGTGTGGTGGTGGTGGTTTGATACACTCTAGTATTAAAAACGACTTGATCTTTACTGAAATGTGTAAAATTAGTATACAATATAAAATTATGTTATACATGATCTTACGTCTACAACTGGTGTTTCTATTACGGGAGGGCGTATGCCCCCACCCATCCTAAAAAAAATATATACAATTACTGTTTTCAAAATTTGAATAATAAATTTAAAAATGAAATTATGAAATTGGAAATAAATTAAAAAATAAATTCATATCAGACAACCATCAAATATGGAAGATGAATGTAAAACTCATAGTAGATATGTTGATGATGTTTTAAAGGGGAAAGAGGTATTGTAATGCCCCTTCCCCCTCTAACCTAATATTATTATTTAATTGGTTATATATTACTAAAAAATTATACAACTACTATTGTGGGGCTATAATTAAGTCAATTGGCTTTAAAAAACATGTTATCTTTATAACCAAGTATAGCAAATACCTATATTATTGTCTTTCATGTGATTCTCACATTAACAGAACCATACAGTATGGTTAACGAGCTAGCCATTTTCTTCGGTTAATAAACAAATTTCCTGTTTCAAAATAAACATTATTTATGAAAGTCACAACACTTGCAACATATTTTTGACAAGTCACAACACTTGCAGTGTTATTAAATTAATTAAATTGTAACTCACTGGAAACAATATCAGCAGCAAGCTGGATCTTTTTCATGCAATAGTCAACAGCTCCAATATCAGATTCATCATCTTTTTAGTAAGAAATGGTGTAAATAAAGTTTTTTTTTCTTTTATTAACTTTTTCTACTCTTTCGCTATATAAAACACTTTTGCATGTTTTTGGATCGTACCATTCATGTTCTAGTTTCTTCCGAACAATTCTATCTGACATGACATCTTCTAAATCAAATAGTTGGTCATTGGACAAGCGCTTGCATGAATTAATAATTTTTTCTTAAACTTAAATCTTTTAAAAAATTTTTTTAAATCAAAACATTTATTCAACAAGGAATACTAACACAGCATACAAATACTTTAAATGATATAGTAACTAAAACAATTCAAACTTAACTTACTGATTGTTTGTTCTAAATTGTCTACAGAAAAAAAAGAGTGACTGAAAAAAATGTAAGCATTAAGTATACAAAAATACAACTAACAAGAAATAATATTGTTAGAAACAATCTACACAGGCATAATAAAGAACTGTATTAGAAAACTAATATCATTTATATATGTATGCATATATATATATATATATATATATATATATATATATATATATATATATATATATATATATATATATACATATATATATATATATATATATATATATATATATATATATATATATATATATATATATACATAGAACATATATAGAACATATATTATAATAGCATCTATTTAATAACTACTAAGCTATTGAATACATAAAGTAACTAACTGATGTTGACAACATCAGTTAGTTATAAAAAAATATTTCTTTCACTGTTTTAGATCCCCAAAGTTGTAGTACAGCCGACAACATTGTTGTCGGCTGCACTACAACTTTGGGCATCTAAAACAGTGAAAAAAAAATTTAAGTTATACATAAAGATTTAGATAGTGGCCAGATAATTTAAAAACAGTTTAATAAATTTATATCAAAACAACTTATCCATAAAGATATTTCTTATTAAATAAAAACAACGTTCAATCTTCAAATTAGATATGATTCATCAATAATTTAATTCACATCTAATTCTTATTATGAATATGATATGAAATACTAGATGAAACCTTTATTTTCTTCCTCCATTTTATTTCTAAATCAAATATAAAATCCAAGTCTTATTTTAATATTCACTAAAAATCGTTTTATTAAAGTAATTTCTTTTAAATGTACAAATTTTTTAATTATATTTTTATTCTATAATATCTAGGTTTACAATACGAATTTATGACATAAGTCAAATATTGCTAATATAAATACTATATATTTAAAATAAATATAAATAAGAAAAATCAATGGACCACTCTGTCTCCCGCACCAACATCAGGTAAAATGTAAATTAGGTAACAAAAGTGCAGCAAGAAATAAGGTGACTGCTACAAAATATTTTTCAACGAAAATTGGCAGGTGCATAGATAAATGAATAAATTTAATAAAAAAAATGGATAGAAAAAAAAAAGACTATATCCTGGACATTAAATTCACCACAGAAGTACAACCAAAATTTTGACATCAATAAACTCGTTAATAAATTAAGTGAGTATAATTAAAAAGCGATCGAACTAATGCTTCAACTATTCTTCATTCTAAAAGTAATCTATGTTGATAACGAATACTAAAAAGTTATTCCACAAACCTCAAGCACTCTAACTTTTAAGAGACTACGAAAAACGTGGAACAGAATTTTAGCACAAAATTCGGTTCCGTAAAACGTGATACTCACGTACCTAATACAAACTAAAAGTTTAAATCTAAAACGAAAAATAATACTTCTTGCTTTCCTTGAATTTACAGGACAATTAATTCGTTAAGATTTCGGAATTAACTTATGTTTTTTGCATTTTTGTAAAAATATAAATCGATTTTTAGATTTAGCTATTGACTTCTTCAAATCTTGAATTCTTTGGTTATTGTATAAATTCCAGCTCCGTATTTAGCTGTTATGAATGATTTAAATGTTGACATCTTGTACAAGAGTAAATATATATATATAAACTAATTTAAAACATCAGATAATACGAAATAAAATTTCAAATAAATTATTTAGTATTGAGAGAATTCGTATTATCTGATGTTTTAAATTAGTTTTTTTATATATATATATATTTACTCTCGTACAAGATGTCAACATTTAAAACATCTTCATATTGTTTTTATCATTTTTGAATCAACAATTCAATTATCTTTATTATAATTTCATTCTATCAAAAATATGCAAATAATAACTACTAAATAAAACTTTAAAATATACAAATATGGATTACTATTTTTGATAACTTTTGGTTTGCAATTAGAATCCAATTAAAAAGTGTTCAAAAATGGGAATGGAATCTTCTTGGAGCTTTTTGATAAGCACCAAAAAGAAAAAAAGTGTTTGCAAGCTTATTACTTATTCCTGAAAATTACAGAATGAATTTATTGAGTATAATGGTTTTAGAAGTTATTCGAGAAATCAAAAAATCCATATGTTCGACCATCATCACGGACAGCACTCCGGATTCGTCCTACAGCGAATTTACTTTTATTTTTTCTCTTTTGCATTTCATTGATAAACATTTGTGGGAGGTCAAAGAAAGGTTCCTTAAATTAGAGTTACTTGAAAACAAGAAAAGGTCTGATCTAACAAAGTTGATATTAAATGAGTTGGAAGAGATTGAGTTCGACACAGAAAATTGTTGTGGTCAAGGCTACGACAATGGCGCTTATATGACAGGTATTTAGAATAGAGTTCAAGCTTGGATTAGGCAGAATAATCAACAAGCAATTTTCATTCCTTGCTCTGCTCACATTTTGAACTTATTTGCAGTACATGCTATTGAATCATCGGCTTCTGCAAAATCCTATTTAGGAAATATTCAAAAGCTATACAATCTGTTCAGTTTCAGCCCAGTTCGTTGAAAAATTCTTTAGGTGAAGACAAGCCAATCATTAAAAAAATCTGTTACACAATGGAACTTAAGGATTGAAATAGTCAAGCCAAACATAATGATTTGAAGATCAAAAAAGGTCTTCAAATCATTACGTTGTCCAAAAGAGTTAGAACTTCCAGGTGAAAGTAGTAATGAAATGCAATATCTAACTAAATGGACGAATTTTTTTGAATTTTTTGTTTTTACTACTTCTTGGTTTACATGTTTGATGGTAGTTAACAATGTGAGTCTTCAGCTTTAGTCCACTCAACTCACTCTAAATGATGTAGTAAAGATTCTGAATTGGCTTTTTGACAGATCTGGATCGAAACCCTTTGTCTTGGGACCTAACAATACCTGATAGAGACAACAGAAGTTGCAAAGATTTTAAAATTTAATGAAATTATGTTTGCTGTGAAGAGAACACAAAAAAAAAGAATGTCTTCCCTGATGAAACTTCTAGTCACAACCACGAAGAAGCATCGAATAACTTTAAGTGTAATATCTTCAATGTTGCACTCTATAATTTGACTATTCAAATGAGATCAAGATTTAACGTAATATAAGAGGAATGTAACAAGTTTTCCTTCCTTTGGTCTTTACAGAAATCTCAAACAGACAAAGAACTAGGTAAAAGCTGAGAATCTAGCAAAACGTTACCTTATGTAAAAGCGAATTTTCTGATGAAATTTTGCATTTTTTTCCGTAAGAAGAAATATTCTAGGCAGTAAAAAGCCTGTCGAACATCTAAATGAAGTTTATGCAAAGGGGTTGCATTCAATATTTCCACAAGCGTGTGTTTCACTTAGAATCTTTCAAATATTGCCCGTTTTAACATCTGAAAGTGAAAGATCTTTCAGCAAGTTAACTATCATTAAAAATTATTTTCGTTTCACAATGGACCAGGAGTGATTGCGCTACTTGATGATCCTTTCATTTGAATCAGAATTAGCCTCTGACATTCTTATGAAGTAATTTTTTTTGCCGCTAAGAAGGCCAAGAAAATGCGTTCGATATTAAGACTTAATTTTACAATAGTTTGTTTTTAAAAACCAAAATAAATTAAATGTGATTTTTGGTTTTCTATGAAAGTAAACAAAAAATAACTGTACTGATTTATTTGGTATTTGTCATTTTAAGTTCTAAAGTAAGATAGGGCAACCATTAAACTTTTGGACACACACACACACACACACACACACACACACACACACACACACACACACACACACACATATATATATATATATATATATATATATATATATATATATATATATATATATATATATACATATATATGTATACATATATATATATATATATATATATATATATATATATATATATATACATATACATATATATATATATATATATATATATATATATATATATATATATATATATATATATATATATATATATTTATATATATATATATATATATATATATGTATATACATGATCGTTATTAAGAAATAAAAGAACGCGGAAACTCGAAGAAGACCGTAAGGTCTTGTTGTCGAGAACCGCTAAAAGGTTTACGTGTTGACATTTCGTATTAATAACAAAATATTAACATTTCGTATTAATAAATTTTGTGAAACAGCTATTTACAAATTTAAGAACTTGTAAATAGTTGTTTAACAAAAGTGTTAAACAGCAATTTACTAATTGTTAAATTATAAATTTTATTTATGCAGTGTTTAATATAAAGTTAAAAAAGAAACAAAAAATTAAAAGAATATTGATATATCATCAATAAAAAAATGACTTTTTTAAGTTTTTGTTTAAAAAAGTGTCTTGAAAAAAGTCAAAATCCTTTAAAACTATTTATAAACTGGAAAATACTGTATTTCATTTCGAGGAGCATTACCAAAGTAATGCTCCTCGAAATGAAATACAGTATTTTCCAGAATTAGTTTGATAAGCTGATTAACGAATGTCGTTATCATTTCGTAAAATGTACTTAGTTTTTTCTTTTTTGTTATACAAATTATGAAAAGATACAGGAGAAATATTGTTTTTACATTTAAACATAAATCATATAACGTAAGCTCATATATATTTAAAACTTTAACGTCAATTAATAGAGTCTTGGCATGAGTAAATTAATCCTTAAAATTAATTTAAAAGGCGTGCAAAATGTTTTCTGTTGACTATAAAGAATTTCCAGTTTACTTTTATATATAGCTACAAATCGGAAGTATGCAGCTAACTGTAGCATAACGGCAGGTCTGAATCGAAAATAATTGTTAAATATTGTAGCTTTGTAGCTAACAACTTGGCTATTTTAGTTAAAATTTCCAAAACAATAAGAATAAAAAAAGATATAATAACAAGCAAAAAATTTAAAAAGTTTTGTATAAATAGAAATTCGGGTTAAGCAATAGTGATACTCGTAGTGTTAAGTTGGTTTACGAAGCCATCTGCGAATATAGTAGGTAAATAAGACAGTGATGTAAGTAGCTCAAGAACGTTAGGGGGCTAAAACGGAAAATAAGGGGTGGGGTGGGATGGGGGTGGGGGGGGGGGAAGCAAAGAAAGAACTTAAATGGAAAAAAAGAAAATTTTCCAAAAGCTGGGGGGACTATCGCTCCCTCTGCTCCCTCCGCCCCCTCACCATTATTCTACGCGAGTGAAATAAGTTATTATGTAATAGCAAGTATATAATAATAGTATGTGAGTAAGTAATATAATAATATTGGGAATATTCGCACTATATTGCAAACTTTGGTTTAGTTTATCTAGCAAACGATTTGCTGTTTAGCGAAATGGCTGTCTTTATTGTTGCAAATGTCGCCCGCTATTCGCTAGCCGATTTTTCACCGGGTGTTCTACCATAGATGAATACCACCAATAAGTTTTCTTGGTTATCGCCAAATGAAACTAAAGCAGACTGTGAGGAATTAAGATTACTGCGCATGTGCACAAAATGTAAACAAATTCTTCTTAGAAAAAAAAAAAAAATTAGATCATGTGTTAAAATGGCGGTGTGTATCCTGTCTTTTTTATACTTAAATTTTTTAATATATACTGTCAACGGATTTGATTGTTTGTCGAAAGATAAAAAATTACAGATTCATATAGTTCCACACACTCATGATGATGTTGGATGGCTTAAAACAGTCGACGAGTATTACTATGGAGCAAATCGCACAATACAAGCTGGAGCCGTTCAGTATATTCTAGATACAGTTATTTTTTCGCTTCAGCAAAATGTTAACAGAACATTTATTTATGTAGAAATGGCATTTTTTGAAAGGTGGTGGAATGAACAAACTGCAGAAGTAAAAGAATCTGTAAAATTCTTAATTAAAAATAAGCAATTAGAGTTCATAAATGGAGGATGGTGTATGAATGATGAAGGTTTGTCACTTAAAATCTGCCATTAGTTTTACAATTTAAAAAATCATTTATTACTTATAAACTTTGATTAATTTTTAAAAATAACTAGTGTTAATTTTTGAAGTTCAAAAAGTTAAATGCATCAAATGACAAATGAATTATATTTATAGAAAATGACCAGTATGGTCATTTTCTATAAATATAAAGATGCTTTAAATGTTACACAAAGTTATATGAAAAAAGTACAAAGTTATATGCAAAAACTTAATTAGAATAATTTAATAAATTTACTATAACATATAACAAAAATAAAGCAATTCAATTTTGTTGCTAAAGTGAAATGACTTGTACTTTTGCCAACACCAGCAATGCATGAATCATCATCAATAGACAGACTTTACCTTTAAAACATTTTAAAAATATTAAAAATTTTAAATTAAAAATTAATTTAAAATAAATTTAAATTAAATTTTATGTTAAATTAAAATTTAAATGAAAAATTTTATATTATACCAAGTAATAGAAAAAAACCCTTTTCTTTGATAATTTCAAATTTTTATTATTTCAAAAAATTATAAAAATGATTTTAATAATTTTTTGAAATAATAAAAATTTGAAATTATTAAAGAAAAGTTTTTTTTTTCTATTACTTGGTATAATATAAAATCAAGTAGTATATAATATAAAAAAATTATTCTGGATTTTATCTCATTTTTAAGTTAAAAAAAGTACAAAAATATGAATTTCTTATTTTTTGCAAATTTGGTCTATGAGTTTTTTAAATTAATTAGCCAAGTTGTTATCTCTTGTTAAAGTTTTTTGAAATGAAATCAAAATATTAAATCATAATTAAGGCATCAAATTATTTAAACTATTTGAGTATTTAAATTCAGTGTAAAAAATTTTTATAAATTATTTAGCGGCTACTCATTACAATGCTATAATTGATCAAATGACTTATGGACTTCATTTTATTGAAAAGAACTTTGGTGAAGAAGCTCGTCCAACTGTTGCTTGGCACATAGATCCGTTTGGTCATTCTGCTGAGCAAGCATCTTTATTTTCTTTAATGTCATTTGACGGATTCTTTTTTGGGCGGATTGATTATGCAGACAAAGTAGGTTACATACATATTAGGTTATATATTTTGTTTTTTAATTTTCAAATTAAAAACAGCATTAGTTATATCTTTGTTTTATATTCTTTGAAAATATACAAGTGGTTCCACATAAAACCATTTTCTTATTTATATAAGATTATGCCCTTTTCAGCGTTTACCTGCTCAGTGATACCGCTGCTACACAATGAGACTTTTTTTGATCAAATCAATTTTAGTGGTTTTTGTGATTAAAATTGCTATAGTTTATTTATGCAAACTATTAAAAATAAAAATCACATTTGTTATCTAAACCTTAATTATCTATATTAAAAGTTTAAAAACAAATTAATTCATTTATGCCCTAGAATTAAATTTTTATATTTGTTTAAGATATTTTATAGGAATAAAGTAACTGAATTAAATTGCAAAAAAAGTCTTTTCATTCTTAAATATTTTATAGGATTTTTTTTTTTTAATTCTTTACTTGAATGATTATAATAGATTTTTTTTTTTTTACCAGGATGGCAGGGTAAATGTCTTTAATTCTACACCTTCGCATTATTTAAAAGCATTGCATGATGCTGATAAGACTTTTTATTATGTCCACTCTTTGAATTAATACATTATAATAGTTAATATATAATGCCAATGGTCTAATGTGAGTTTTTGCAGTAATTAGACAAAGTTAGTGGACTTGCTGATAAAATAATTCTAAGTTTAATTAATATACAAATGAGGACTATGTACAACTTTTTAATTCTTTATTTATTTAAGTTCATTTATACAATTGAATTTTCATTTGAAAAGACTTTTTGAGCAGTATCACTGCTGAAATGTGATTTTCATTATCATGAGTGTTTTGGATATTAAACCTAATTTTTTGTTAAAATCTTTTTTTTTTCTTCATATTTTTTGTTGTTTAAGAGGAGCTTACTCTGTGTCTCCTTTTTCTTGTCATTTTTTGATTAGTACTGCAACAATATCCAAATAGACCTAACTAGAAAAATTTCATCCATGTATGATGTGTAAATAGCCTGTATTGCAGCCCATAAAGGGAGTAAAAAAGTTTCCTTTATCAATCTTATTTTATGTCTTTAGGTGAACATCCTCATATGCTGCAACATTGACTGAAAATTGTTACATTAGATAAGGCAGTATCGATCAAATTTAATTTAAATGATGTCTGGCTGAAATATTACTTAAAAAAAAAACCTTTGAAGTAGCTTTTTTGTTGAGTAAGAAATTAGTTGCTCTTTTTCAAATTTAAATCCTAAAGATTAACATTAGTAAATGGATAAATGTTTAAGATTTCTCCAAATATCAGTAAAGGTCTCTTCAACATAAGTTACAATCTGATAGATTAAATGAAATTAGAATAATGAAGTTAGCAACAATAATTTTTCTTTATTTCAATCTTACGACTATTGATTGATGTTCATATATACTTAAAGTATATATGAACAAAAATCTACCAACCAAAGTATAATACTTTGGTTGGTAGATTTTTTACGGCTTACTCTATAAAGAGTTACCAGGTCACTTTTTTTTTTGCTTTCTTTATTCAGTTAAATTTTCAATATTCAATTCATATATCACTTGCTCCTTTCATATGTTAGGAGCAAGTCATGGTGCTTAACAAATTGATAACACAAAAAGATGTGACCAATCCAGAAATTTTTGGTAGGATGGGGAAATTTTAAATTTTTTTTGTATTTTGTTCATATTTGAAAAAAAAAAATTTTAGGACTTTTAGTTTCTGGTGGTTTTGTATTTAGTATCACATTTGCATCTCCTTAAAAAAAAAAAAAATTTTTTTAGGACTTTCAGATTCTGATGGGGAGGGGTTGTTTAGGAGTGATGCAAAAAACTCATTCCCCTGGATCCATCACTGACATTAAGTTGTGAATTAATTAAAAGAAAAAGATAAATTGTTTTAGGAAAAACGTAAGAAAGAACAGCGCATGGAAATGGTGTGGCAAGGGAGTCAAAATTACAAGAGCGCTTCACAAATATTTACTGGTGTATTATACAATGGTTATGATCCTCCTCCAGGATTTTGTTATGATGAGTTCTGTGCTGATCCTCCAATTCAAGATAATCCAACTCTTTTTGATATGAATGTAAAAGAGCGTGTTGATAAGTTCGTCGAAGTTACATGTGAGCAGGCTAAAAGTTATCAGACGAATCATATTATGTTAACAATGGGATCAGATTTTCAATTTGAAAATGCTCACAGATGGTTCAAAAATTTGGATAAGTTAATACATTATGTTAACCAGGTTAAACATTTTTGCAATATCAAATAATTGTTATAATGTAAAATTAGAGTAAGTTTTAATTATTTTTTTTTTTACCAGGATGGGAGAGTAAATGTCTTTTATTCTACACCTTCACGTTATTTAAAAGCATTGCATGATGCTGATAAAGAATGGGAAGTAAAAAAGGATGATTTTTTTCCATATGCTCATTGTCCACACTGCTATTGGACAGGCTACTTCACAAGTCGACCTTCATTTAAAGGTTATGAGCGAGAATCAAATTTTATTCTTCAAGTATGTTTTATAAAAAAATTTTAAGCTTTATTTAATTTTTTATTCTACATATTCGTTACAACTTTTTTTATTTACACTTATATCTTTTTAAAGTTTTTTAGAAATTGTTTAGATATTTATTTTAATCAACCATTAGTGGCCATCCATATATTACGTACACACCAAGGGGTGAGAGGGTGTGTATCAAATTGAGTAGTGCGGAATATATGGATGGCTCCTTACATGTTTAAAACTTCATTTTAAATAACCATTACACAGGGATTATCTTTTTCCACATATATCTGGAACTCCAGATATTTCTTTTAATTTTCAGTTTTTCTGAATTTTTACAAAATTTTCCGAAAATACAAGTTTGAGTATATATTTTTGCAAAATATTTATTTTTTTAGCTTGTTTTAGTCATAACCCATACAATAAATAAATAGATTATCAAAAAAATTAGGAAAACCATTAGCTTAAAGCTATATTAAAACATATATAATGGAACTAAATTCTGAATCCAGCTCTGGCAATAAATTTAACAATAGTAAGGAAAGAAAAAAACTTTCTGGTTAAATGCTATTTCACCGTGCTCCTAAACCATGCTAAAAGGAGCACTTAAACAATTAACAAATAATTATAATAAGGGGAAATCCATAAAATAAGTATGCTGTAAAACCCCTGATTTAGGACCCCTCTCCATTTTACCAATCTGTATGCTTTAACAGCATGCGTACCTTTACATTTATTGAAAAATCACTCTCTTTTCCTCATCACTATCGTTCCTACCTAAAAATTTTCAAAATATTAAAAATCAATTTTTTTAAAAATAATTCAGCACTTCTATGTTTCATAACATTATATTAACTTTTCAAACTCATGAAATTCAATGCTTTTGTTAAAAGAAATCAAGTTTAATGAGAGATATCGGGTGGACACGGAAAAATCCATTCAACTTTAAATTGAGATTTCTCTAAAACTATAAATGCTTTTTATTTCAATTTTTTTTTAAACGTGTTTACATCAATTAGGGTTTCAACTTAATTTTAAGGGGCTTGAAGGACTGTTTGGCAAGAGATTTAATTTTATAGCGGGTTGATGCCATCATTTTGCAGAATTTTTCTTTTTTGACCTTATTGGTGGCATTAATCAACATTTTTTGGAAGTCTTTTTTATTTTTTGTTACTCCTTACACAAAGAACTTCTTTAACTATTGTTTAAAAATCTTCAATATAGTGCTCTTCATGACAATTTGGAGGTTTTACATCTTTAGGAAAAATTTTCAAATTATTATCTTTGCACCACTGTAAAACTTTTTTTAGAATAGTGAGAAGCAGCAAGGACAGAAGAGACATCTTTATTTGTAATTTTTCATAAATGGCAAAAGTTGTTTTTGGAGGCATTCTTTGATGTAGAAATTGGTAGTCAAGGTCTTCTTAGTGACAAAACAAGAGGACTGCATACCACAGCTACAAATTGCTTGCCACACAAGAAACTTGGATGCAAATTCTTCTCGTTGAATATATTTAAATTGAACATCGACAGATTTATCTTTGTTCTCATAGTAAAATTGTTGACCAGGAAGTTGTGAAAAAATCGCCTTGCAATGTTTCCTTGTCTTTAATTATGTACATACTTTTATCCGCCATAGTTTTAACCAACTTCTTTGCGCTTCAATTTCCTTTAATTTTACCATTTAAACTTCTCTTAGGTGTATTTTTCTCATGAAATGCTTTAATTCCAGCATTTTTAAGTACTTTTTTGATATAAAAATTTGAAGTCTTGAATTTTCTTGCTAAATCTTGCTGTGACTGGTTCGGATTTCATGCTATTGAACTGAGAATTAAATTTATCTTTATGGATTTATAGAGATTTTTCTTAATTGCACTTCCAGGTTTTCTTTCAAAGCTTTGAGTAGTCTTGACCTTATTTATAATATGTATTAAAATATGACTGTAGATTTCGGGACATTTGTACATTTAGCAATTAAGCGATATGAATTCGATGGGTTTTTGCAAAAAAAATTCACAACTTTTACGCACCTCAAACAATTTGTTTCTGAAACAATTTGCAAATCATTGATTTGTAAACAAAAGTTTATCAACAGTGTCCACCCGATAGAGAACAAGAGATAATCAAACAGCATACATACTCACTGCCTTTAAACACTTTATTATACACACTTGTATGTTTTTGAGTAACTCTTCTTCTCCTCCCTCTATGCCTCTGTATGTACTTTATAAAAGACACATATCCTGAAATATTAAGTAAAGTGTGTATAAAAAGTGTTTGATCTTTAATGCTAGGTTAAGGAAAGAGGTAATACATTTTATTATCAGTCACTATACATGTTAATACTTTTAATTTTTTTGTATATGTTTTTTAATTTTTATTGATATTTTGTTTTTATACATGTCTTATAACTTTAAATGGGATTTAATTGAATTTTTTTGATAAAATAAGTATTCAAGAAATAACTGATATTTTGGAAAAATATTTAATAGGTATTTATAATGTAAAATGTTTCAATTTTATAATTTTTTTAAACTTTTATTTTTAAAACAAGATTGATAAAATTCTCTTCTCAAGGTAAGTTGTGGAAATGATGCAATTAAAGATTGTTTGCTTAATAAACTAAATGTACGGTGTTTAAAACTTACCTCATTCCTGGTAGTACTACACTCAATTTATTACTCTGCAATGGGACTTTCTTTGCCTAAGACTCATGTTTTTGAGGAGTAGAGTAAAGAACAGCAAAAATTAACTACGAAAAAGTTAGCTCTCTTGACTATTGTGGTCCCTTTGACTTAGACGGGTAAAAGTGTAAAAAAAAAGTATAACTTATGTTTTTTTAAAGGCTTGCAAGCAAATCGAGGCACTTGCTCCTTCCGGTAAAAGCCATCCAAGTTCTGATATATTACGGCGTGAAATGGCCGTTAGTCAACATCATGATGCTGTCAGTGGAACAGAGAAACAACATGTACAGAATGACTATGCAAAACGCCTTTCAATTGGCAGAGATGAATGCCTAGTTAGATATTTTTTATTACAGTTACTTCACATAAAATAAATTATTTCAAATAATTTTATATTAAATTAATGATAAAATAGTTATAATAAATAATTAACCAAATGTATTTTATTTTTTAATTTAATATTATTTTTCTTTATTTCTTTAACAATAACAATAATAATAATTTATGCTAGAGTCTCATGCATCATGCAATAAAACTCAAGTATGAAAAAAGTTCAAATTTAAATTCAATGGAGTTTAAGTATTGCGACTACTTAAATATTAGTGTTTGTGAAATAACTGAGACAGAAGACTCAATTGTTGTGAACCTTTACAATCCTGTTGCTAGATCTATTACTACATACCTAAGAGTTCCTGTTAGAATGAACAAGCTGTTGGTACTTAATTCTAAAGGACAACCTATCAAATCACAGATCATTCCTTTATCTCGTGAAACAGCAATATTGCGTAAGCCCCATGGGGGCTATGCAGCCTATGATTTAGTTTTTGAAGCATCTGCACCTTATATTGGATTTTCCACATACTTTATTAATAAAACATTGGATAACAATTTTGCTAGTTTTTTATCTAAAGACTCATACATATCGTCCTTGAAGTTCCAAAATGATTTCATTGAAAATGATAAATTACGCTTAGAGTTTTCTCGAGAAACTGGACGCCTTGTTAAAATGATTCGCAAAGATCGAGACCTCTCATTAAATGTTGATCAGCAGTTTTTCTGGTATGAAGGAAGTGTGGGTGACAGCGACAGCGTGCAAACCTCAGGGGCATACATTTTCCGTCCAAATAAAAGTACACCATATGAAGTCAATAGTTTTAACAAAGCACAAGTTCAGTTTGTTAAAGGTCCTCTTGTTGAAGAGATACGTCAAACATTTGGTACTTTTGTTAGTCAGGTAATTCGTTTGTATAAAGGTGCTGACTATGCTGAGTTTGAGCATACGATTGGTCCCATTCCAGTTAATGATAAAATTGGAAAAGAAATTATTACCCGTTTTGACACTGATATTCAATCTGCAGGCGTATTTTTCACCGATGCTAATGGTAGAGAAATGAAAGAAAGAAAAAGGGATTTCAGGGAAACATGGGAGCTAAATATTACAGAACCAATCTCTGAAAACTATTATCCTGTAAACAGTCGTATTTATATAAAAGATAAGCGAGTCCAGCTTACCGTAATGACAGATCGATCGCAAGGTGGCACAAGCATCAAGGATGGACAAATTGAGTTAATGGTTCATCGAAGATTGTTGGTAGATGACTTTTTAGGAGTTGGCGAGCCTTTGAATGAGCCTGGAGTTACTGGGAAAGGTTTAGTTACAAGAGGCAAACACCGTGTTTTGTTAACAACACCAGAAGAAGCTGGTTCTTTTCACAGAGAGCAAGGTTTACAGATGATGATGCAGCCTGTAGTGAGGTGAGAACAGTAACTTTATATGATTATAAAAATTTGTTGTGTATAAGAGTAGGTTATAATTTTTATTTTATTATTCAACTTGTATTCTTTTCTTTTTCTTTCAGTTTTTCAGCGAATCCATACACAAGAGATAAATGGTTTCAATCTTTCGTACCTGTATATACAAGCCTTTCTCGTCCTCTTCCTCCAAATGTTCATATGTTGACATTAGAGACAATAAATGAAACAGCGCTTATAATTCGATTTGAGCATTTTTATGAAATCGGTGAAAGTTCAGAGCTTTCAAAGCCTGTGATCATAGAATTAGATAAGCTGTTCTTTGAGTTTGAAATTGTTTCACTCACTGAAACAAATTTGTCAGCTAATCAGTTGTGGAAAGATAAAAAACAATGGAACTGGAAAACTCGTAAAACGCCCCAGTCAATTAAACAAAATCTTTCAAATACTGGTCGTTTGTCTGTCTCGCTTAACCCTATGGAGATAAAAACATTTATTGCTCAAGTCAAATATTAATAATATGTTGTAATTAAATCACTATAGTTAATTTATCGTTTTGATTTCAATTCATTTTTTGATAATATCTTTATATCATTTTTTAAGTCATTTTGATTATCTAAATTTTGAAACACGCAATAAACAATTTATTACAAGCATTGTGTAAACGATTTTTTTAAATAATATATTTGATAATAAAGAAAATAAAGTATTGTTTTTTTTTCGTTTTAGTATTATTATGTTTAGTTTTAGTATTTTATGTAATTCCGCAGTAGCACAATATATTTTATAAATATCGAGTTTAATCGGGCTTGTCACCAAAAACCTCATTGAACACCATAGTCTTCCAATGAAGGATGGACAGCAGTTGCGGTTTATTTAAATATATTTTTCATATAATGATAATTCTTTTATATTAGGGGTCGTCCGTAAAGTAGGTAAGCTAAAAATTTGTCCGTAAAGTACGTAAGCTAAAAATTGAGATGCGTACTTTTATTTCTCTCTCCTCCTCCCTCCCCCTCTTTCCCCTTTCCCTTTTCTACTCTTTTAAAATACCTCCGTCCCTCTTTTTTTAAAGTTTCATTTTTAAAAAAATTGTAAACCGTAAAATTCCCTAACTGCGGATGTAACCTTATTCATGATGGTTTTAATAAAAAGATTCATAACCCGGTTATTTTAACGAATTTTTAAATTATTTTTTTAAATGAAACGTCTAAACAATATGAATCGAGCAATATAAAATAAAAATTATAAGACCACAGGCCATCTAACTTTATCGTTCAGGTTCGTAGTGCAGTGATGAGTTCCAACAGATACGCAATAATCAAAGATGTCCTGATTTTAAATTAAATGTTTCTAAAAATTATGATGATGCATTTCAACAACTTTGTGACGATGTTGTTGTCAAAAGATAGTGTTGTGACCAAAACTTAAAATTGTAACTAACTAAACTAAAAATACCGTAACTAAAATTAGTTGACTAACTTTTTAGTTAACTATAATCAGTCGACTAACATTTTAGTTAACTAAAATTACGCGACTAACTTTTTAGTTAACTAAAATTACCCGACTAACTTTTTAGTTAACTAAAATTAACCGACTAAGCTTTTTGTTAACTAAATATACGCGACTTTGTTTTAAGTCCAACTAAAGAATTTTATAAATATATAATATAAATAATTTGGGTACATGATATCATTTTTATTAGAATTTTTGAATAAGATTGCGAATGCATAATCATTTTATCGCATAATACCGCAAAAATAAAAAAATATCAAAATAATTTACTTCAAGAAAATATTATAAACAAGATACTTCAAGAAAATTTTTCATAAAAATTAAAAAGTAAACATAGTAAAACACAAATATCTATAGAGTTGAATAAGCTACCAAGGCCAACGCAAAGGGATGTAAGGATGGATTGGTTTGTTTCGTGTGTGACATCCCATCAATGAACTTTTAGCTCATTTAGTAAGCCAATTTGACTCTTTTAGATAAGTTAGTTGGCAAATGTAGATTTTCAGAACAGTCAGTTGGTAAATAAAAACAAGAATTTTTTTTTCCTATTTCTAGTAAGTAAAATTTTAACGGCACTCTCTACGTGTTACCTACTTGTGCCGGCCTTGTAAGCTACAGTATATTACAATTACTTGGTTTTATTATGTGCCACTTTTTTGGATCCAAATTATAAAAGTTTTTAATTCTTTGAAAAGTACAAGGGAAAAAATTTTTTTAAATGTGTTAGAGAATTTTTGTCGAAATTTCATTAAACAAAAAAAGTTTGTGATATAATTCTATTTAAAAAGGTGACAAACAAATTAAAAAAATTTAAGTTATCATTTGACGATGAAGATGACATTTCCAGAAACGATAGTGACAAAATAATAAGTTTAGATTTAAAAAGAGATATTAGTGGTTATATAAAATTGTCAGTAAATGAGCAAAATGTTTTTACACTTTTGGTATCAAAATTAACACGTATATTCAATAATGTATTGTATTTCAACAATGATTTTATGTACGCCTGCTACCAGTGCACTAAGTGAACACCTTTTCTCTGAGGCATTAAACACTTATGCATGCAAAGCGAAACGTATGCAAACTTATACTTACGTATGCAAAGCAAAACAGAATAACAACTGAATGTTTTCAAATAATGATGTTTTTGTACGAAAATTTGGAATTTTTTAATTTAGTTCAAATTTATTAAATATAATACTGAAGTTTTTTCTTGTAATAAATATTTTTTAATATATTTATTGTTCTAAAAAAAATATTATTAAATTTAGTATTCGAACTCTTTTGAGTAAAACTGATTTTTTTTTTTTTTTTGATAGAAAAAATTAAAAAATTAATATAGTTTTTTAAATTTAAAATGTGTTAAAAAAAAAAAGATAAAGAAAAAATTGAAAATTAAAAAAATTAATGTGTGATTTTAATGTTCTTGAGCGTGCGGTTTTATTATAATGTTGCCTAAAACAGCAAACTTTTTTACCTTTATTATTTTAATAGTTTGGTTGTTTTTTTTTATTTTTATTTATATATTCTTTAGTATTTTTTTAAAACATCTATCTAATGAAAAAATATAAAAATAAATATAATAAAAAAGTTATTGAATTTTAATTTATAATTGTTTCGACCCGGTTTTACACGTATTTTAAAGTGCTTAAAAACTACGTTTTGCATTTTTCAAGTAATTAAAATGTCATAAACAATTTCCTGGTTTTAAAAGCGACCGCAGTTACTTAATAAAATGTTTTCGTTATTCAACAGTAAAGTATTATTTAATACATTATACACTATTCAACAACTTATATTGCGGATATTGCATTCAAAATTGCAAATACCAATTTTCCTTTTAAATTTTGCAGGTATCGCCAACCGACGAACAACTATACTCTAAAAGCAAAAAAAAATAAATTCATAATAACTTATTTAACGATTTTCTTTTGGGTTCATGTCAATACTTTCGCCTGCCTTACTATAGTGTTTGCGGGTTATAATAGCCGTTAGGAGAGGTTAATATTTGAAGAGGTGGGGAGGGGGAGTCATAGATTTGTTGTGAAAATTAGAGATTGAATCTATTATTCCTATAATACAGCAGGGTTGTACTGAACAACGAAGACGAAGGGGGAGGGGGTGCAAATGAAATAAGCTTTTTTACCATAAAAATCTCACCAAAGTAGGGCTTTTTTTTATTTAAAAGCCAAGTTGCAGTTTTAACCGATTGAGTCTCAAATTTTCTAAATTACCGACAAAACCAACAGAATGTTGTAACCCCAGTAAGGTGCCCATACTCACGTTGGTACGGCCTTGGCAGGAGAAATTATTTTTGATTTGCAATTGTTATTGCACACTTCCTATAAGAAGCAGCACATAAAAAATATAAGTTAAACGTTCAATAAGCGCACCAAATTTGATGTAATTGACAATAAGGGCATTATTTGTATATTCCATGCTGATCGGGTGTTTATAAACAGTTGCAAAAACTTCATAGGCAGTTGTCTCAGAGCTGGGAAAAAATTAAAATAATCGAATTTTGCTTAAAACATTTCTTTTAAATAACAGTTTAGTTCGACTGGGCTCTTGGATTCACAACTAGTAAAGTGTTTAATTTCGATAAAATAATATTTATCGCCTTAATAATGCTTCCTCGGATGTAAAATTTTTATGCGAAAGATTATTTCTTTTTTCAAGCACTAAATCTTGCTTTAGTCGACTAAATTTAGTTACACTAAATATTTAGTCAATTAATTTGAGTTAACTAAAAAGTTAGTCGACTAATTTTAGTTAGACTAAAAAGTTAGTCGCTTAATTTTAGTGAGCTAAAAAGTTAATTGGGTAATTTTAGTTAGCTAGAAAGTTAGTCGGGTAATTTTAGTTAACTAGAAAGTTAGTCGGGTAATTTTAGTTAACTAAAAAGTTAGTCGGGTAATTTTAGTTAACTAAAAAGTTAGTCGCGTAATTTTAGTTAACTAATAAGTTAGTCAACTAATTTTAGTTAACTAAAAAGTTAGTTAACTAATTTTAGTTAGACTAAAAATTTAGTTAAGTATCTTTAGTTAGAATAAAACTAACCTTAACTCCCACCCCTATCAAAAGAGTTAGAAAACAGTGGAATTATGACTCTCAAGAGTCTTCTCAAAAAGTTTACTTCTTTAATTAATCAATTCGAAAGTACTGTTATTACATATCAATCAACTAGAAAAAAGACTAGTTTCCAAATACCCTAATTTAATATCTAGTGGATTTTAATGTAGGATTGGCTGCAGAACCTTTTGTAAATGATAGTTTGACTGAGAATACAGAGGAAAGTGATACAATAACTGTGATGATAACAGAAAAAAAATACGAAAACCAAGTAATGGAGTAGAATTTTTACAGGGTGGCATTTGAGTTAAGAAATGTTTTTCAAGGAATAGCTGACATCACTGGGAAATGGTCACGGTTTCACATTAGTTTATTGTAGAAAATTGTGTTGAAAGTGTTCCCATATTACTTTATAACTTTTTATGTCTAGTGTTATGTCTTGGTTTTTCTAATGAACCCTATCTTAATAATCATCATCATTCCATTAAGACACCACTGATGCTTAAATTTGTTTCCATTGACAAGATCTTATTTATGTTTCATCAAAAGGGCAGACAAATACCTATAAACATCTAGCACTTGGTATGACAGAACGACAGCTTACTGGATCAAACAAGTTTATTGATATTTTAAATGGTTTGGTCATTGTGTATCAAGTTCGACTGTTGTTCGACATGAATTTGCATTAGCAAATTTAAATTTAATGAATAATACCATTATTCCAAGTAACGTAGCAAAGAAAAAGTTAACAACTCTAGTATATTATAATGTTGATTTTCTTGAAGAAACCCTATCTGGATCAAGGACAACTCATGTTACTCATGGAATGAGTTTGTATTCTTGTATTTAAGAAAAGTATAATTACAAAATTGGCAACTCTATCCAAGTCAGCAGAAGCTTAAAAACTGTGTCGCTGCCTCAACAAGTCATTCAATCATATCATTTAGGGAAAAAACCTTCATTTAGTGTTCCAAATTATAGCCAAAGTCCTTTTACCTAAAATAATCTATTTGATTTCACACCTTCCACAAATGTCAAAAAACAGTACTGTCTACTAAATATGATCTGGCCTACTGTATTATTAAATTGCCAAATATATGCTCAGAACTT